GGTGAGCCAGACACAGTCCACCATAGGCAATATACTTGCCAGCTCCAGCGAGTTCCGGATGCGCGCGCGGCGGCTGAGGCGCCCGAGTCCCTCCTCAACGCTGCGCGCGATAATCCAGACAACCGGATCTTCACTCGATGGCGCACGTGTATGAAGATAGCGCGCTGCCAGGCCCATCGGTGTCGAATGAGGTTTCTCTGTATGATGGGAATGGCAACGCGCTCGACATGGACCCAGAAACGATCGCAGGTCCCACCCCCCAGGCCGCTTTGCGTGTAGACTCGGACGGTTCGACCACTAAGCCTTGGATTCGACCGTTGCAGCGAGCGGCCTGGGCTGTAGCAGTTTGCCCTGATGAAGGAGAGGACCCCGTCGCGATAGTCAACGGCATCGTTCCAGGGGTTTTGCCGCAGACTCCAGCAATGGCTGAGCACTGCGGCATTGCAATGCGCGGACAGATAGCAACGCGCCCTGCTGTGCTAGGCGCTGACTGTCAGGCTGCGATCAGGCTTCTCACAAGAATGTGCAAGATCAGCTTTCCCTCTCCAGCAAGTTCGCTGGAGTGCGTGCAGTCGCGCATCAGCTTGAAGGCACAGCCAGGATGCAGACAATTCGGCGCGTCAAGGCTCACCGCGAGGAGGCTAAGATCCAGAGCCTTGAGGGTGAAGAAAAGCTCTTTGCTGTTGCGAATGCTGCTGCTGATAGCCATGCCAAAGATGGTCCCAGTAAGCACCCGGCTCCGTTGCCAGAGTTCACTCAAGATTTATGTTTAGCTGGCGAGCGAGCTGGGGATTTCATCAAGCTTGCGGCGCAGGTGTTTCCTCTTTTTGATAATGAGGCGCGATGGGCAAGGCCCCATGCAATCAGCGCCCCTCGATCACGGCGACACGTGTCGCGGCGCGATTGGAAAAATAATGAGATTGGTCTTCAGTGCAGGAGGTGCTTCAAAGTTGCTGAAGGCAGTCTCGTTTCTGCCCCGATGGATGGTTTAAGGGGGCCGCCGCCATTCCTCCGAGGTTTGCTCCGAGATCCCATGGGCCATAAGCTCGTCGCCATGGCTAGATCGCCCTCGAATGCTGGCGGTTCGGTGTCGCGTCGGCGCTCGTCCAAGGAGCAGATTCTCTGTATACGCTGCGGGGGGTGGTCACAGGGGCGGGGTTTAAAGCTCAGCCGTCAGTGCGAGGTTCCGCCACGAAAGAGGTTGGAGATTTTGGTTGAGTTCAGGAAGGGCCACTGCCCGAACCCAAGAGTTCGGGCAGCCATCGATGGTGCGGTCCCGCTTGTTAGGCTTGGCCTGTCCGCCGCCCCTCCTGACCCCGAGCCTCCAACGGTGGTCAGGACCTCACACTCGAGCTCCCTCGTGGCCCCCTCGCATGAGCAGCGTATGTCGGCTCTCTGTGAAAGGATTCGCTTAAAGGAGCAGGCCAAGTCGGCCCGCCCCCTCTAGTGATCCCAAGTTTTGATCAGAAGTGTTGATCGACGTTTAGTGCGGTGCACTCCCCTTCGGGTCTTCCGTTCCGTTCCGTTCCTCCCCCTCCTCCTTCTACCCCTCCTACCCCTCCTACCCCTTCATACCTTGCATCGCCCCGCCTGCACCGCGTAGCTTCCATCTCCAGTTCACCAGCTAGCTCACACGACAAAGCTTGCACACCACAGCTTGCACCCCACAGTTGCCAACTCATCAGCTCAGACCACAAAGGTTCTCCCGTCAACAAGCTTGCACCACGTAGTTGCCATTCATCAGCTCCTCATCAGCTCCTCCTCCTCCTCATCATCATCATCATCATCCTCCTCGTCCTCCTTTTCCTCGTCCCTCTCCTCCTCCTCCTCCTCCTCCTCCTCCTCCTCCTCCTCCTCCTCCTCCTCCTCCTCCTCCTCCTCCTCCCTCCTCCTCCATACTCGTCGTCTGTCCGCGCGCATGCCGTCAAACCATGAGACAACCGTATGAGTCGAACCCTCTCGTCCAGAAGCGGCATCCGCATGTCACGGCGCGGCGCACCTGCGCTGATGCAGCATGCGCCTAGTGCACACACCCGTTTCGGATAGTACAGTGCGGGCCGCACGCGCGCGCCGCCGAGCGCGCGCGCGTCGGAGCCCTGCCAACACCATGTGGTTTCCACGGCGTCTCAAGATAGGGATTTCCCAAAGCATCTTTAGAACCAAGTCTCTTCACCTGAAACCGTCAGGTTTCTGGCATTTCCGCTCGCGAGCACTTCCCCACCATCACCCTCATCAGTGCCGCCGAATCACGTCGCCGTCATCGACAATCGCCGCCACCGTTGCCATCACCATTCAACCACCTTCATCACCGACACATGGACATCATCATCGTCATCGTTAACACCATCGGCGCCGTCATTGGCCATGCCGGCGTCGTCGTCACCATCGCCACTCCCATCGTTACTATCATCATCGTCGCCGTCGCTGCCGACGTCATCATGATACCGCGCCCGCCCGAGTCACCCACGTGCATTGAAGCGCCCGCGCGCCAGCGTGGCCTGTGAGACGCGCTGGGAAACTCCCGTCGGTAAACGCCATCGCGGCCGCATCGGCTGGGCCGAACCAGCTGGTTGCTTCTGCGCGCGAGCTTGCGGGCGCGAACACAGCCGCAGGGATGCGCCAGCCAGCGGCAAGGCATCACCGCAATCGCGGCCGCATGGGTTGTGCAAGACAAGTTGCGGATGGGAGAGCGGGCTGAATGTGTGCGGAGCGGAGTTGACAACTCACTAGCGGACAGTAGTTATTTCCACCACATTGATTACACCACACAGCGGTCAACTCCACCGTACAATTACGCACAGTTTGGGGCCCACGCTTGCAAACCGTAGTTTTGTCACGGGTTTGATGTGCACCCTTGATGTTTCTGCCTCAGCCGACCAGCTCTCGTTGGCCAAGTGATGTATCTTGTAAGACCACGGGCCTTGCACCCTTACCTTGCATCCTTCCGACTGGCCCCGACTGCATTCATCCTTTTTGAATCATCATGTGCAGGCGTTTGTCTCGAGCTCGAGCTGGACGACGGGAGGCAGGGAACCAGCCGGCCTTCCAAACTTCGGAGCGGCATTGGCACCACAACCACGGTTAGTGTCAGCACGAGCGTGGACATCACATCGGCGGGACTCTCCCCTTACCGAAGAAAGCGAAGGCACACAGAGGAAAGCCCCAAGCGAGGAAGAAACAAACACGTGACCGAGGAAACGACGACAACGAGGTCGACGGCAACGACGGCGACGACGACGGCGCCACGACATGCACGACTGAGGCGACGACGACGACGACGACGACGACGACGACGACGACGACGGCGACGAGACCGACGAGACCGACGACGACGACGACGACGACGACGACGACGACGACGACGAGCCCCGCCCGCAGGCCTGCCTCGACGCCGGCGCGGCGGCTTCGCCCGGGGCGCTGGCCGACGCGCCCCTGGGCGGTGCCGCGCGGCTGCTCTTCCTGGCGGGCGGCGAGGAGGGAGGGGGCGGATGGGGGCGGGGGACAGGGACCCCTGGAGGCTGGAAACGGTCAAGAACCGGCCGCTCTAGTTTTTGCCCGAGCGTCGGATCTCTTGGATTTTTGATCCCCAGAGTTCGAATGCAGCTCCTGGGAGGTCAGGTTCTGACTCTGCCCTGGTCCGAGTCCGGCTGAAGCCAGCTTAATCCCGTTTCATCCCGCTGAATCCCGCTTCATCCCGCGCGTCATCCGCGGCCTAATTTGGCGCAGTAGCCCCCAATGAGGGCTTAATCCTCCTTCATCCTTCCAACGACCACCTCCCAGCAGCTGCCTCCTGGCCCAGAGGCTCCCCGGAGGCCTCCCGTCGCGCACTCTGGAGGTCTCTGGAGGCCCCCGGAGGCCCACGGCGGTGGCACCCCTTGAAGGACGCTCGGGGGAGACTTCTGCCCCTGGACCACTTCGAGGGCGGAGGGCAGACCTTGGCGGGGGGGAGGCAGGCTGGCGGAGGAGGCTCGGGGGCGACGATAACCTCGGTAAGCCTCCAGCTTTGCGCCCCCCTCTGCTTCTCTCGGCTGGGAATGAAGGTCGTCCCTCCTCCTCCTCCTCCTCCTCCTCCTCCTCCTCCTCCTCCTCCTCCTCCTCCTTCTCCCCCTCCTCCTCCTCCTCGTCCTCCTCCTGCTGCTCCTCCTCCTCCTCGTCCTCGTCCTCCTCCTGCTGCTGCTTCTCCTCCTTCTCCTTCTGCTCCTCCTCCTCCTCCTCCTGCTCTTCCTCCCGCTCGTCCTCGTCCTCCTCCTGCTCTTCCTCCTGATCTTCCTCCTGCTCTTCCTCCTGCTCTTCCTCTTGCTCTTCCTCGTCCTCCTGCCCTTCCTCCTGCTCTTCCTCCTCTTCTTCCTCCTCCTGCTCCTCCTCCTCATGCTCTTCCTCCTGCTCCCCCTCCTCCTCCTCCAAGATCTGCCCTCGAGGGCCGAGGGCAGAACTTGGCGGGGGGATAGGCATAGGGGTGGGGGGTGCATCGACCCCCAAACGTCCATTGATCGCCGATGAGGGCCCGATAGCCCCAACCTGCCCGAGAAGGTGCGGTCTCGCTATCAGGGGCCCATCGCCGATCAATCGACGAGGTCTCGCCGGTTCTGGGTCGATGCTGCCCCCCTGTGCCAGTCCCCCCGCTGACCGTTGCCAGTCAGAGGCGACCGACGATGACCGATCTTGGCTTGGCAAAAGAAAAGAACATCAGGAGGAACAGGAGGAGGGAGGAGGAGGTCAATTTGGACTGCTTGAAAAAGGTATATGTCATTATGCTTATTCGCATGTTTCTTATATTGACTCATACTACATTACTGTTGCATTATTCATTCTCAGATCATGAATTGTAATAGTATTAACCATAGTTCGTGTATTAGTAGTATTAGTAGTGCGACTATTAGTAGTAGTAGTAGTGTGATTGTTAGTGCGAATGCTAGTATTAGTTGTACTCGGAATAGTGTTGGCAGTAGTTTTCTTGGTATTGGTTTTTCTGTTGGTTAATATGATCCGAATAATGGTGTTGGACTTCGTAGTATTGGTTGTCATATGTTGTTGTTATCATCACCACCATTAGCACTGCTAGTATTATTGTTGGTAGTAGCATTACCATCATTACTAGTATTGTCTCTGTTTGCACCTCGTGCCTCGGTTGCCCATCGCACGCGCGGGAACCTGAAGAGTGAATTGACGCATTCAGTGACCCGGAAAACGTACCCGCTGATTGGAGTTTTGACGGCCATTGTCCCACCGATTGGGCGGGGCGCGCCTTTTGGGCGCGCTCCTGGGGTGGCACTGGGACCCCGCGTCCAGGGCGCCCTGGTCCCGAACATGGCCAGGCAAGGCGGAGGGCCGCGAGCAGGAGCTCCGCCCACCCTGCTCCTCCAGTCAAGGAGGAACGAGGAGGAGGAGGACCAGTGTAAGCCCAAGAGTCATCAACGATGTTGGAAGAAATCCAAGCTCCCTCTTGGTTCATTTCCATCAGGGGGAACTGCCTCGTTTGAAGACAACCGTTTGGAGACGCTGAAGCATGCCAAAGCATCGTTCTCGGGATTCCAACGCCACGGATCAACCTGACTGTTGCGTCTTGGCGATCCTCAATCGTGCCAGAACGGCATTCCTGGGACTTCAACACCACGGGCTTCAACACCGCGAATCAACGTAACCGTTGCACCCTCATAATCTTGAACCCATCCAACACATCATTTCTGGTACGCTGATTGTTGGAATCCTTGGAGCTCTTGCGAATTTTAAGAACGAATATACGCGGCGCTCAGGCGAGAGCCACATGTTGAAAAACAGCCGCCCTCAACCCGTGAAACTCTTGCAACGTTTTGACAACGGCCCGCTCTCAATCCGTGAAACGCTTGCCATGTGTTAGAACGAATGTGCGCGGCGCTCAGGCGAGAAGCATACTTTGAATGCGATCCGCCCTCCATCTGTGAAGTTGCTGCCAATGTTTACGTAAGCGTCAGGGCCATAATTTGTGTGAGGAAGTCTCATGCGAAACGCCCAGCCCGTCCTAAAACTAGCCTCGGGGTGCGACATGGATGTATAAGGAAAGAGAGTGGAGGAGGAGAAGGAGGAGGAGAAGGAGGAGGAGGAGGAGGAGGAGGAGGAGGAGGGAGGAGGAGGAGGAGGACGAGGAAGAGGACTCATGGGTCCTCCGTGCGTCTGGAGTCGTGCATCATTCGTCAGTTCGACTCGTCTCGGGCGCAGAGGGCCTCCAAGATCGTTTTGGGGGGGGCCTCGCGGGAAACAAACCTCGGGATAGACGGACGAGGTTCTCCGAATCTCGGGGTGTACGCCACCCACACTGACCAGCAAGATGCTTGGGGACGATGTTGGCGTACAGCTCACAGTCAGCACAAACCTAAAGCAGCCATTTGTCCACAAACGGGAGCCTGTGGGAGGGGTGCATGCGTTCGGTGGGCCTGCGTCCTGTGGCGGTTGGCGCAGCTCTGCCCCTTCCCACCGCACATCCCCCTAAATTCGATGTTAGTTGGGTGGCCAGAACATGACGTGGCGGCAAACTCTTTGACCTTGCATCTCGAATGATCCTGCTGACAAGCAGTGCCCCACCAGAACCGACCTCCTGTTGCTTCGAGCAAGTGGGTCGAGCTCGGGATGGCTGTATCGGCTTTCCCGGGTTTCGGACCAAATGGAGTTGGCCTTTCTGCTGCCGTCTTCTCCTCTGCATCCGCTGCACGCGCCAGCGCACCACGCGCTCGGCGCCGTATCAAGGCTGCTGTGGTGTCCACCGAGTCTGTGTCAGGACGCCGCCCTTCCGTCCCGTCCCAAGCCCGCTCCGCCGCCTCCCCCGCCCAGATGTCCGTACAGGCGTGGCGAAAAATTGTTACTGTTCCCTAGTGCCGAGCTGCGCAACATTCTCGTCCTGGTAGGACGGAAACCACTGGAATTGGACAGGGTGAGAACGGTGCCTCCAGGCCACTAGGGCCCAGCTTCAGAGATCTTCGTTGATTCCTGTGGGGTTATGTCTCTGGAATCTCCTACTCCAATTGTTTGCCAGGTTCCACTGAGCAGTGACAAGCTTGACTTCAACAGCAGGCACCGATTCTAGAGCGAGGCAGAAGGCCAAGATTTCGGCTAAGGGGACAGTCTGCAACTTGCCCACCCGGAGGGCCCCCAGAGCCTCACCAACCGTCCACCCCACGCCTTCGTTCTGGGTGAGGCCTACAATGGCTGCTCCGCAGCGCCGCCTCCTCGGGTCATCCGAGTGCTTGCCCCCCGAGCCGCCTCCTAAACAGATACTGCCGGCCTCAGCGCATTCGGCGAAGCCGGTTCGATGAGAATTGCAGCTGAAAGTGGCGACGAGGTCCTGATCGAAATTCGGGTGCGTAAGGTATGCGGGCGGGAGGCCCCTCGGCCAACATGACGCTTCAGAATCCATCTGCGCCAAAGCCTGATGGATGAGCTTCTCAGACTTCACGAAGTCCTCATGTCCTGTGTTCTTTTCGCACTTCCACATTTTGTGGCGAAGGGTTCCTTCTGCCGCTCCACAGCGTGGGCAGAAGAGTACAATGCTGAGCGCATACCCCTGCTTTCTTCCGTCTCGAGCGTGTCCACTGGCTGCCCGCCATCACGACCAGGTTGAGGGCTACCGCACTTGTGTCTGCAACTTGCAGAATTCGCCGTTCTTCACGTCGCATGCGCCGGAGATTTGTTCGCTCTTGAAGATCCTCACCGTCTTCGTCGTTGGCCGCCTTGCGCCAGTAGAGCCTGCGTATGTCGCTGGTGATGTCTCCCAGGATGGCCATGTGCTCCCAGTCCTGACGGTATAGTCGTCGGCGCTGGTGCTGCGGATGAGCCAAGCCTGCTGTCCGTCGGGTAGCGGCCGTCCCCATTCAGCGGCCTTCAGGGGTATTCAACCGATGCCCACGAGCGTGGCTTGGATCGTGGCAGTGGGCCCTTTGACGTATGACCATCTGCGCGTACCCTTCTCGAGGAGTTGGGCCTCGACCTTGCCCCAGGCAATCTTGATACGTTGATGTAGCCGAGGGTCCAACTGCCAAAGAGAAAACCACTCCATGACCAATCGCTCTCGCAGCTCTATGGTTCCTTGTCTCAAATCTGTATTGCCAAGGCCGTCGTCAAGCACCTGGCCCCCCTGACTGTCAGCAGCCAGCTGACAAGCTTGCCGTCGAAGAAGCTGCAGTTAGTACGGTGCCAGGAAAATCGCTTGTTGGCCGTATGAGGCTTGTGGTAGTGCCCCATGAGGGAGGAGGAAGAGGGAGGAGAAGGATGGAGGAGGCGGATGGAGGTGGGGGGGGGCGGAGGAAGAGGAGGAGGTGGAGGGAGGCGGGACGAGGAGGAGGAGGAGGAGGAGGCGGAGCGAGGCGGGGGGAGAAGGAGAAGGAAAAGAAGAAGAAGAAGAAGGAGCAAAAAAAGGGAGCAATGCAAACCCAAGAAACATCAACCATGTAATTAGTCACCTTCCCTCCAAGTTCCCTCGTCATAGGTCCCTACAAGAAATATGCTCAGTGCGGGAAGTGCCCGATTGGAAGACAAGCGTCCGAGAACCCTCAACAGTGCCAAAGCACCACTCCTGTGACTCCAACGTCGCGAATCAACGTGATTGTTGCGTCCTGGCGATTTTGAAATCGTGCCAGAACACCCGTCCCTGGCATTCAAAACCGCGAATCACGGTGTTCTGTTGCGTCCTGACGATCAAAAAATCGTGCCAGCACATCGTTCTGTGGATTTCACCCATGCGAATATTCGAAATTGGTGCTAACGTTTGAGACGAATGTGCGCAGCGCTGAGGCGAGGACCACATGTTCAAAACGATCCGCCCTCCACACTTGAAATTGCTGCAATCGCTCAAGATGAATGTGCGCGGCGCTGAAGCGAGAGCTGCATTTTGACACCGGCCCGCCCTCCATTCGTGAAACTGTCGCTAACTTTTAAGACGAGTTTGCGCGGCGCTAAGGCGAGAGCCACATTTTTGTAACGGCACGCCCGCCATCCCTGAAGCTCCTTGCACATTGTTTAAAGAATGCATGCGGCGCCAAGGTGAGAGCCACGTTTTGAAAACGACCCGTCTTCCATGTGTGAAATTGTTTCAATGTTCAAGTGTCTGGATCAGGAATGTTGAGGAAGGCTCAGGCGAAACTCCCAGCCCGCCCTGTCGACACGTCAGAGGGTGCGACAGGGTGGAGTTCGTCATAAGAAAAACGAATGGCGGCGGAGGGTGAGGACGAGGGGGAGGAGGACGAGGGGGAGGAGGAGGAGGAGGAGGAGGAGGAGGAGGAGGAGGAGAAGGAGGAGGAGGAGGAGGAGAGGAAGCAGGGGGGGCGGCGGAGGAGGAAAGTGAGGAGAGGAGGAGGAGGAGAAGGAGGAGGAGGCGCAGGAGGAGGAGAAGGAGGAGGAGGAGGACGAGGAGGAGGAGGAGGAGGAGGAGGAGGCAGAGGAGGAGGACGAGGAGGAGGAGGACGACGAGGAGGAGGAGGAGGACGAGGAGGACGAGGAAGAGGAGGCGGAGGAGGAGGAGGAGGAGGAGGAGGGCGGGCCGAGGAGGAGGAAGGGGAGGCGCGCGGGCGGCGGAGGCGGCCGAGGGCGGTCCCCCCCCTCCCGCGAGGACTGCGGGCTGCCCGGCGCGCTGCTGGGGCTCTGCGACCGACAGTGCTACATCCCGGGCGCCGAGTGCCCGCTGGCGCGCGGCGCGGAGAGGCGGCGGGAGCTCGGAGAGGCCGGCGGCCCTCCTGCGCCCGCCCTCCTGCAGTCGGGCAGAGGTGCGCACTGCTCATGTCTGATTCTTCGAGAGTTCTTAAATTTGGGGGGGCCAAGATCCTTTCATTTCTAATTGTTCTGTCCTGGGCCTCTTCCTGGCCACTAGGGGGCCGGGAACATTTAGAAGCGAGCCCAATTAGAAATGAGCGCGACTAGAAATGACCGACGTGTATATGAGCGAGGTCGGCTCGGGGAGGGTACCCTGGTGTTCTCCGTGTTCGTTGGATGCGCTTGTGCATCTTGGGGAGGGCGCCTTTGGATATTATGTGCGTTCTGGCCGACGGAGGGTCCCATGTTCCTGAGGGATGCTCGTCTGGCCTAGGTCCGACCGTACAGCTCGCACGAAGGCTAAGAGCAACCCAGGCTTTGGAAGGGTTGGAGCCGTCTGGGGGTGGGTTGAGGTAGCCCCAGGACTGGTGCCTTTTCCCGACCGTCAAAAACGGATCCGGGATGAAAAGCTGCACCAGATGGAGCGCGTGGGAGGGGCCCAGGAACCGATTTTGAAAGGATTCATTTCTTTCTTGGAAAATGTTCGGGGGTCCCAACCAGTTCAGACTCCCAGGCCGCTTCCAAGCCCCTCCCAACGACGACGACGATGACGATGACGACGACGACGACGACGACGACGACGACGACGACGACGACGACAACGACGTCGCCGTCGTCGCGAGAGCATGGGCGCAACAGGCTGAGCAGCCCCGTGTTCGAAAAGATGAGCGGCTAATTGCCTGACGTTGCAGCCTGTATCATGGCATTGCGCGGGGTGCACAACTCACAGCCGCACTTGTAGGTTATGCCGTCGAACACGTCCGCGGCGCGCCTGCCAGTCTCGTCTAGAGAATCCCAGGGTTGGCTCGTCTGCGCTCACAAATGTCGGTTGCCCATTTGCGTGACCCATAAAGGTGGTTTCTTGGTGGCCCATGACGCTGCCAAGATCCCCCGGCGAGCGGTCGTATTCAGAGTCGTCAGTACGTCTCTGCGAACCATTCGACTGCATCAGCTTGAAAGCGGCGGCCATTCCAAGCGCATTGCTACGAATCCGTGACTGCATTGGGCAGCGTCCTAAAGCTTCCTGTAAACCTGACGCCAGGGGACAATTCCGCGCCCAAATTGAACATCATGTCTTTCTCAGGGTCGCCAGAACCACCAGGACCGGCGCAAAAACGGCGCACTTCAGCAACCCGCACACGGTCGTTCGTGTTGGCTCCATTTTGGAAGACCGCAGTTCGGCTTGCAGGTTTCAGTTTTCCAAAAACTCGTGGCCACCATCTTTGGTTTTGCCTAGCAAGGTCGGCCTGGCCTCCCACACTTTACGCCGACTTGAATTGCACCGCAATGTGGCCGCTTCGAGTGCAGTTACAATGTCGTATTGTCGTCGTTGCCTGCAGCATTTGCAAAGCGGAATTGATGGCATTGGTGGCGGCAAGTTGCGCATCATTTTCCGGGCTTTCCCGACGCAAGCGTTGTGTGTTGTTTATTGTTGACAGCACGTTTCTCATCTTCGTTGTTTCCACGATGATGCGTCCGCATGGCAATACTTTGTTGGGCATGTTGGCGTTGAAAATATACAAGCCGTAATTTGCTTTGGTAGATAAACAAATAAAAACGCGCTTCTTCATCATTACGCCGCGCAGCGAAAAAACATGAAACACGAGGTGGGCCGAGAAGCCAAATCCGCAAGGTGATCGCGGACGGAATGGCGCAGAGAAGCCAAACGCTCATCGTTTGCCGTTTCTGGGAATTTGGGCAGCATGGCGGGGGGCCACAGTCGTTGAATCGAGAGCCTGGCTGCCATGGGACCATAACGGCTACGGATAGCACATAAGAGGGGAACAAAGATAGGCACATGTGTAAAACATTCAAGGTCCGAATTCCAATAGAGGGGCAATCGACCTGCGAAAACGTGCAACATGTAGGGCTCAAGCCGCAGGAGAGGAGCAATGTAGGCACACGGGTCAAACACATAGGATTCGAGCCACACGGTAGGGGTAATTTGTAGGCGCATACGTAAAGGAGAGGGGCAATCCGTAGGCACGTACGTAAAACACAGAACTCGAGCCACAGGAAAGGAACATTCTACATGCACATACACCTACACAGGACTCGAGCCACGCGTAGGATTCGAGCCCCACGAAAGGGGCAATAGATAGGCACATACGCAACACGCACACACACACGCACACACACACGCACACACATCTAAGATTTCAGCCACAGGACAGTGGCAATATTTAAGCACAGACGTAAAGCACAGGATTCGAGTCGCAGGGGAGTGGCAGTCTGCAGTCACATACTTAAGAACACACATAATTCGAGCCACAGGAGAGGGGCAATGTATAGGCACACACGTGAACACACAGCATTCGAGCCACACATCCGAAAAACTCATAGGGCTCGAGCCCCAGGAAAGTGGCAACCTAGAGGCACAGACATAAACATACAAAATACGAACCACAGGAGAGGGGCAATACATACGCATACACGTAAAGCATTCAGGATTCGAGTCGCACGAGACGGGCAAGATATCGGCGTATACGTAAAACATTTAGGATTCGCGCCAGAGGAAAGGGGTAACCGTTAGGCACCCACAAGAGAAGGACAACCGATCGGCACGTACGTAAAGCACATTGAGTTCATGCCCCAGGAGAGGGGCAGCTTTTATATATATATATATATATATATATATATATATACATACATACATACATACATATACCATGGGATCCGAGCCCCAGGACAAGGGGCAATCTATAGGGACGGTCATCAAGCACATAAGAATTGAGCACCAGGAGAAGGGCAATTGGCATGAACGTAAGTGAAACGCTTGGGTTGCGGGCCCGCGACATGGACAACTTAGAAGAACATGCATCAACCACATCGGATTCGAGCCCCCACATCGAGTCCGAGCCACCGTGGAGGACAATCGATATAGATTGATGTAGATACATAAGTATATGAATATATAGAGGAAAGGTACAACACATATACATATATAGAGATGTATATATATATATATACACATACATAAGAATGCCCCTGGAAAGGGGAAATACATATATATATATATATATATATACAAGTGGCACGTGTGTGCCCAGGCTCAAACAAAAAACTGAAGGGGCGTTTGAAGCAGGAGTGTCATGTAACAGCGAAGTCGCACTCGAGCGCAAGTGGGGTTGCCACACCTGCTGCGATGTGTGTACCAGGGCCCCCCAGGAAGCCTCAGGAGGCCCGACTTGGATACCAGAAGAGGCTCCAGGAGGCCCCAGGATTGTGAGTGTTGTGTGTGTGTGATGTATAAGCTCTGTGTTGTGCGTGCTTTTTGTGCGTTGTAGGCGTTGTGTGCGTGTGTGTGTGTGTGTGTGTGTTATGTTTGTCTAGCGTGTGATGTGTTGGGCGTGATTTGTGTCTCTGTGTGTGCATGTAGTTCTCAGGCCCCAGGAGGCCCCAGGCGGCCTCAGCCAGGAGACCCCAGGAGACTTCAGGAGGCCCCAAGAGGCTCCAGGAGGCAGCAGGAGGCCCCAGGAGGCCCCAGGAGGTTTCAGGAGACCCCCAGAAGGCTCCGAGGCGGGCTCCAGGGTACCAGAAGGTTCAGAAAGCCCCAGGAGGCCCCAGGAGGTTCCAGGAGGCCCCAAGGAGGCTCCGAGGCGGGGTCTGGGGTACCGGAGGGTACGTCGGGGCTCGATGTTGGGAGGATGTTTCAGGCTAAACCGCCATTCTCTGAGAATCGGGGTCAAAATTATTGGAATTATCATGTGCATTTGAAGGTTTTATGTTAAAATGTTGAAACTCCCATGTGTTGTTGGACCCAGACGTCACGATCTGCGTGAGGGGTGCCACCGATTTTCAGAATGTCGAGGCTGTCCCTAGCGAAACGGCCAGAAAAATCGCGAACGCGCCGCGTACGCATTAATCGCATCTGAGCTCTACTCCCTCGGAGCGGTGCGTATGCTAATATACATATATAATATGAGCACACGCAAAGCATACTAAGATTCGAATCCGAGGAAAGAGCCGATCTATAGAGCAGACCCAAACACGTAGGACGCGAGCCCCAGGAATGGGACATCGATAGGAACATACGTAAAACAAATGCGGTTCGATCCCCAGGAGAGCGGCAACATGTAGGCACTTACTTACGTAAAACACATCGGCATCGAGCTAGAGGAGAGGGGCAATGTATAGGAACATACGTCAAACACATAGGATTCGAGCCCCAGGAGGCATTTCAGCTAAAACCAAGCTAACACATAATAGTGAGTCGCATTTCTGAACCAAATCGAGCCAGAACGCCACGTGAGTCTCATTCCTGGATCTGCGAGGGCTGAAATCTAGCCAGAACACCATAGTACGTTTCATTTCTAAGCCAAACCGTGCCAGAACGTTATGCTGAGTCGATTCTGGGCCGTTCTGGACCGCCGCCAGGCTCGGGAGAAGATGCCCTCGGCCCCCTTATGGTGGAGATTCTGGCGAGAGGAATTTGGAGCAAACCGCGGTTACAAGCTCGAGGCGTCTGGCAGGCGAAAAATCAAAGGGTTTTTTCCCAGGGAGGTGTGCTCATTCCTGGGGGGGGGAGATCGCAACCCCCAGGACCACACTTGGGACCCCCCTACCCCTCCCTAACCACCCACCCACCCCCGGCTGAAGGGGATCAAAGGAAATGGGTTTCTTTTCCTTCGATTCGATTACGACGTTGCTCGATTTCTTTCTGGCTGGAACGCTTAAGAGGGAGGACCCAGGGAAGGGGGGGGCGACGGACAACGACGACGACGACGACGACGAGGACGAGGACGAGGACGAGGACGAGGACGAGGGCGAGGACGACGAGTCAGACTGAAACGCTTCGGCGGCTTTTCGTTCTTGAGTTCGTGCGCCGCCCCCCCCGACCACAGCGTTCGCCGTTCGCTCGTCGTACGTTCGCTCGTCGCCCCCCCGATATCCCCCCACACCCGTCCGCCCACCCCTGGATGGCCCCCACAGGGGACCCTCCCTCCGCCCTATACTCCTCCTGCCCCGCGCCAACCCCTCTCGCACCAAGAGCCAGCGCACACGTGACGCTGCTTCTCTTGCTGCCCTTTCACCCCCCCCTTGACCGCACTCCGAGTCGGTGCCCATTCTCCCCTTCACCCTCCCCCTCCTCCTCCTCCTCCTCCTTCTCCTCCTTCTCCTCCTCCTCCTCCTCCTCCTCTTCCTCCTCCTCCCGACCAACTGGTGTCAGAGCAGAGTTGGAGCTGGCCGGGGGGTCTGGGGTGGCCCGGCATTGGTTCTGGTAATACGGAAAAGGGGGGAGACGTTCGAGGTGTTGGGTTCGACGCAGTGCGTTGCCTTTGTCGGGCTTTGGGGGCCATTTTCAGGCCCAGGGGCCGTGGAGAAGGAATTCGGGCTGGAAGCCTGCACCAGAATGGACCCCGGGAGGGGTCCCGGGACAGATTCTGGGGTCTGGGCCTCGTCCCTTTTTTCCCGTTTCCTGGCCGATTTTCTAAGGCCCGAACCACTTCAGACCCCCGTGCGGCCTCCAACCCCCTCCCCCTCGCCGTCCGTTCCTTTAGGCCTCCCAGATGGTGTCGGTGCGCATGGGGTCGGAGGATGGCGCCGCATCGCCGATGCATCGGCGATGCGGCTCGATGTGGAGCCCGAACTTCTCCACGCCGACGTGGCCAATACATTGCCGTTGTCGCCGATGCATCGGTGATACATTGACGATGCGGCGCGATCCTCCGACCCAGTCTTCTCTGACCCCATCTAGGAGGCTTCCAGTTCCCCAGGAGGGCCAAAACCCGTCGCTGAACCTCGCCCACGCGGTGGTGATCGCGCTCTACGAGCGTCGGCGGCAGCTGCGGGCGGCCGCCAGGGCTGCGCCCGCTGCCCCCCTGCAGTGAGAGGTCGCGCAGAAAAAAATGCCTTCCGCGCCTGGCTCTCGAGGTCTCCAGGGCCCAGCAGGCCCTGGAAACGACAGGGCCGTCGTGTCTTCTGTTTCTTGATCCACTTCCGAGTCCAACGCCGTGTTCTTCCGTTTCGGTGGGCCAGTCCTTTTCAAGCGTTTTGACCACCAAGGGTCAGATCTTTGGAAATTCGGGGGTTGGGGCAAAGATTTGCTGCTTCCAGGGCCACTATGCCCCAGGAGTGCCAGAGGAGGACGCCGCCGCTGCCACCACCCCTCCCACCCCGCGCCCTAACGGGATGCAAGCCATCTGTTCCGCGATCTCTGCGGCAAACATGGTTTCATCTAGGGGGCTGCATACCCAGGGGTAATGAATGTATGGATGCGCCCAGACCTCATCCTACTCCTCCTCCTTCCTCCTTCCTCCCTGCAGCACAACGCCGACGAGGAGGAGGGAGCGGGCTTGGACAGAGATGGGGAGCAGGGAAAGGCCCGGGCGGCTTAAAAGCAACCCCAAGTTGGGGGCGGAGAGAAGGAGGATGAGGAGGAGAATGACGACGAGGAGGAGGAGGAGGAGGAGGAGGAGGAGGAGGAGGGGGAGACCCCAAGCAGGAGGATGGGGAGGATGAGGAGGACACGGCTACAGACGAGAAGAGGGAGGAGCAGAAGAAGGAGGAGCACACCCCAAAAAACAGAAGGATTAAAAAGGGGGGGCTTGTGGTGGGGTTTCCATCCTTGGCTCTCTGAGAATATGATTGCCATTGTTGTCGCAACGTTGCGTATATTCGTGCAGATGTAGAGATGTTTTGTTGTCGAGCGCGGGTGCTTGCTAGAACGCGCGCGAAGCGCGCGCGCGTGGTTCTTAGTAGAGTTGGTGGCTACATGGAGGCAAGTGTTGGGGGAAGTTGGATCAATTATTCCCGACACAAGCATAGAACGGGTCCTCAGACGTACACACATACCAGTGCCACAACAAGACCAAAGGAATCTAAACATCATCGCGCCGTGTTCGAACGTAACGCAGAGTTTGCCGTTACAGTCAACCCTGATAGTGAGAATGATCAATTTTCTAAGGTCCGTCCCCCTTGCATCCTTCCCCTTCGGCCCATCCTTGGCCGCTTTCGTTGGCCGCACCCCGCTCGCAAAGTATCGATATGAGTTTCCAAGGTCCTTGCATCCTTATCGGGCGTCCTTATTACACGGGTTGACTGCATTCTGCGACGTGACGGTTCTATCCGAATTTTTTAGCCAGCGGAGATTCCAGATTCGACACGAAGGAAAGTGATTGGAGTCGGCAGGAAAAAAATAAATGATAACACATACCTCAAAGTTTGGGAGAGCGGTTTGGGGGCGAGCAAAGCTTGGGGGGTGGAAGTTTACGGCCGATAGGGGGCCCCAACCAAGTACTCTTACCCCGAAGTTGGCACGGGAACGTATCAGAGGTGTACACAACCAAACACGGAAAGACATGGCGTTGGGCTTGCAATATACGTAGGTGGTGGGGAATATTGGGGTGGCACTGGAGCGAGTTATGGCTAGAACCGTCCTGAACCCAAATGGAAACGCGCCACGCACACAGCAAGAAGCAGTGGCTGAGTTCACCATTGTATAGTTGTCCCCCTCCCCTCCTCCTGCTGCTCTTCTTCCTCCTCCTCCTCCTCTTCCCCTCCTCCTTTGTTTGTCTCGTCTTCTTCCTCCTCCTCCTCCTCCTCCGCCTCCTCCTCCTCATCCGTAGCCATTTTGGCTCAAGCCATTTTGGCTCAAGCCATTTTGGCGCTGAGCTGGCGGCGGCGCGCGCTCTCGAGGCGCGCTGGCATCATGGCCCCCCTGGCGGCCGCCCTTGGCGCCATCGCGGGCTCCCAGCTGCGGTCGGTGGAGCGCAAGGCGGCGGCCCGCAGGGCGGTCGAGCTGGCCATGGCACCGGACCCCGTGACGCCCAGCACCCCGCCGAAGGGGCCCTCGTCAGCGGAACCATGCGACGGCGTGGATCGTCCTGGGCTCGGGCGTGAGGCGGAGCGGCTCCTTGGTGCGTCATGTGAGATCGTCGCCGTGCTCGGCAAGATGACCTACGCGAAGGGTACCAAGGCATTCCGCAAGACGGGCAGGAAGCTCCCCAACGCGCTGGCCTGGCGCGCCCGGGAGCTGGACGTTGCGTCCAGCATCTTGCGGCACCCCGGGCTTGCCTCGGAGATCGCGGAGGAGTTCGGGCGCTGGTTACGAGGTGACGCGGCCAGCTGCGGAGACAGCAGCGCCTCGACGCACGACAGCGCCACGGAGCAGCTTCTGTCGGTGAGGTTTTCTGGCGTTTCTGGTATGCAGAATTTCCACATCTTCAGCCCGTGCGGTGGCTCCAGCGTGCACGAGATGACCTGCAGATGGAGGCGCTGGCGGGGCAGACCATAGGCACGGCGCCCAGCGGTCTCGGAGGGCGGCTTCACCCAGGCATCGGCGTGGAGATCGAGGCGAAGGCCGGCTACTGCGAGGGCGTCGTCGAGCTCGAAGGCCTGGTGCTAGACCTCAGGGCGAAGGTCATCCAGCTCGCGGCGGAAGCCGCTCAACTCCGCAAAGACGTCATCATCGGCCAGGTATGCGCCGTGCTGTCGAGGGCCGTCACGGAGAAGGGTGGCGACGAGGGCATAGTGTTGTGCAGCGAGGTCATGCATGCGGGCGTTCCGCGGCCAAAAACAAGCATTTAGTGGGGAAATTGTTGGAACATGAAGAACGGGAAAACACCGACACATAGCATGACGGGCTGGGCCCACTGATGCGTCTGGGTGCGGAAGTGCATGGGCAATGGTACCCACAAGTGAGAAACTTGGTGCCATTACGACCGTACTGTTCTTCGTGGCCCCAGCGTCGGACATAAAACGGCGATGTCCACGGGGTGTGCCCGAAAACCAAGCATAGGTGATCATAAATGAAACGCGGTGCGGCGCACGAGATTGCAGTGAAACATCGCAAAATACAAGTAGCCTACGGGCAACGCTTAAGCAGGGGACGACGAAGTCAATCCGTTTGATGTCGCCATTCGGCAATGTGATGTGGATTCTGCGCAGTTGCCGTTCAATTTTCTCCTGTAGTATGATGACCCCAGCCTCGGTACTGTTGCTGTTCATTTCGAGCCGTTGTTTCGAAGTATCAGCTAAATATGGCAAAATATGTCTGCCCAGCGCGCCCGATAAGTTACCGTTGCCGTCTGGCCGGAACGTCGGAATCCGACCCCCCCACGCTCGTAATGGAAAGTGGCCCTTTAGGGCCCACGCGTTTCGCTCCGCGAACGCATGTGGGAACGATCTGGTGGTCATGCGCAACGTGCGTTGTTGCACAAATCCGCTGCGTGTTTATTATTGTACTTCCTATCCCAAGTGGGAGGCAAGGTCGGATGGATGTCTGGCATATCAAAGTGCGCGGTTACATCGATGGCCTAGCGCGTCGTTTTTTTTTTTCAAGGTGGTACCCAACACCCTGTAGTATTCCTCCGTTTTCTCACGTCGTACATCACATTCCGGGGCGTAAGTCAATTGACGCAAATGTTTTGGAAGTGCCCCATTATGTTTTTTTTTGTTCTTTGTTCGCTTGTCCATGCCAGGCCACTACAATGAGTAAGACTTGGCGCGGTCGCCTTCAGCGCTGGGGCCCAGCTCAGCAGCGTCGGAAGAGATGGGCGAGGAAAAGGGGGAGGAGGAAAAAGATCGTCGGTTTTGAGGATGGAACGCACGAGGACGAGGCGTTGCAATATTTGAAAATAATGATACTGCTTGCGCGTTCCACTGGTCGCACACTTCAACCCAAGCGCATTGTAATGAACCAAAACTAGTATGAATTGTTCTGCAAATGCTGTCTGGTTCTCCGTTTGGCCTGCGTTGGCTTGACCTCGTCGCGACGTGCCTCAGCGCGCGCCTGTTCTGCGGTGTTATTGTGTCATATCCTGCTTTCGGCCAGCGGTAAAATGCGATCTGGAGCCATCGCTGTAGGCGGGCGCTCACTGGAACAAACGGAAGATGTTTGATCAACATTTCTCCCCAGACATGTCCCACGCGTTTCCAAAGCGAGGGGTGCCGCATGCAATTGGGCAGCGTCGGCGGAGGGAAAAGGCAAACATAAGATCGGAATGTGAAAGCGTTTTGGACCGATCGTTTAGCGATTGGGGGCTTTCTTGGTCTTCCAGGGCGCCTCTCTGGGCGCTCTTAGCCTGTTTTGGTTTTTATTATGAGGCCTCGGGGCTTCAGGGTAGAATGCGCATATAATCGCCCCGCTCCCGGGGGCCCGTTCCCCGCGCCCTCCCCAGGTAACTCCTTGGGAGCACCCCCCCCTTCCGCGGAAGACAAATCAGAGAGAACAGTGCGATTAATGAATGGACGAGGAAGTTTGGAAATAATTGCGTTGAGGGATGGTGATAAATACGGGCCCATGGAATAAGAGAGCTGACAGGGCGCGCACGCCGGGCTTCCATCCGGCCCCATCGCATGCCCAGCTTGCAGGGCGAGGCCTGGGATACCCCATTGTGAGATGCAACTACTGAGATAGGCGCTCCTGTTGTCCGCACGTCGCCTGAGACTCAAGGGCCTTGGGAGCCGCAGTGTTTACAGATAAGAAACACGTGAGAGGAGGGGCAAACGCTGGGCCACCCAGCGCCCTCGCTTTTACACTGGCTCTAAAATTATGTTGCCCCTTGTCGATCAAGAAGCATAAACACGGAGGGCGCGGCAACGTGCTATAAAATAAACTCTCAGGTCAAGCAGCAAAGGCAGCAACGCAAACAACTTGCAAAGGAAAAATAAACAGGCAGCCGATAGGCTTCGTAATATGGACAATGCATAGTAGGCTCACGTTAACAATACCTGTCCACTGTAAGAATACATCAAACCACGTACTCCCAGCCGGTCGCCCACGCACTCATCATCGCATTCGAGTCGTTGTCGCTCTCAGGCGGGGTGTCATGGTGATACATGATAACTCCATCCATCGACTTCCTGATATGAGATTCATCCATTCCTTTAGTTAGCGCACCGGCTAGCATATATTTAGTTGGACACCAGGCCAAAGGCCACTTGGACTGAGTAGCTGCTGCAACTTCTTCCACAATCTCGTCCTCCATGAGTTCTCGTAGTCCGATCAAATCCAAGACCAATCTACGCTCAGCTGGAAGTTAAACAGCTCCTTCTCGGTGAATTGCGTCGCATAACGAAGCACAGTCCGTCGCACACTGAATCGAGCAAAACGTCGGACCGACGCTGTCGAGATTCATCTTCGGAAACATAATATGAAGAACTGAAGCACGCATAACAATGACTGCCCCCCATAGCATCCACTGCACTCATGGTCTCTGCGGCAAACGTGCTCCGGCATAGACTTCGTATGGCAGCTGACCTCCAGTCGACCAAAGCGGCTTTGCCTTCTCCGTCCTTCGGGGCCTCCGAAGCATAGGCGGTGCGCGTTCGGCGTCGACGCCACTCGGCGGTGCTAGCTACCTTGTCGTCTGGCTCATCCACGTTGGCCCATGCAGCACCATGAAACACGAGAATGCAGAGCTCGCCCTGCAGCTTCGGGATCGTAATGGCGGTCTCGTTGTAACGCTTGGCCTCGGACACGATGCGATTCGTCTTGATCAGGTCGGCCACCGTCGGAGAGTTCTGCACTCTCTGAGCCATCGAAACTCCTGCAGCTAGATCTGGTCGAGCCTGCGTAGCGAGCCAACCCAAATTGCCAATCAAGCTCCGGTTCCCGGCGATCTCGATCTCAAAGGCAGGGCATCCCAGATCTCGTTTGCGCTCCTTGGTCAACTCGAGCGGTTCTAACTTCTCGGCGAATATGGATTGGCCCATTCGAATTGCTCCGTCTGAACGCTGAAACAACATCCTTAGCGCAGAATGTGAAATCAAGCCCTTGCCAACCTCCGAACGGAAACAGCTTCTTGATGACACCATAGCTAGCTTCAGTACTGGCAGCAATCAGTAGATCATCCACATGAGCACATACAATCGCTTGCAGAGTTCCATCTGAACCATGCCCCACAAATAAAGCTGGATCAGCCAAATTCTGAACCAAATTGAACTTCTTGCCATCTTTGCTCACGAGCTCAACCTTGAGCAGCGGGTTCTTGAGAGTAGCGCGCCATTGTCGTGGGGCAGTCGCCAATCCCAAAATACCTTTGACGATGCGCAGTACTTGTCCTGGCTGAAGTCCTGGTAGACCTTGGGGCGGCTGCTCCATGAAAAGAGGTTTGTCTCTGGGCTGCTCCTGTCCCTGCGCGAACGCGGACATGATGTCGGCGCGCGCTGGGTCCCAGTCGAAGCGCGCTGCCATGTGTATATATAATCATATGTATATATATATACAACAAATCGAACTAGTTCGCGTCACCGTAGGGGCATCTGTCCGCAGTGCTCCTGTCTGTAGATCTGGACCACGGCGCCCCCCAGCACATAGTCGAGCCTTGGCCTTCACAGGCGCGGGGTCAGCATCTGCGCGGAGATCGACATTCTTGCCACGGAACACGAAGCGAGACGGCAGGAAGCGGTTGCTGTCTTTTTCGTTCCGGACTTGTTGGGATTCCCCCAGTGAAAGCGCTTCCACGGAACCAAACTTCTTCCGCTCCTCCCAGTGCTCGGCGATGGTTTTCCAGTAAAGTGGCTTGCGATCATCGTGAATGTCCTTCCAAGCGACCTCTTTGTCTTGAAGCTTCTTTCTGAGCCTTTCGCTCTGAGCTCGAGCTCCACGAAGCATTGCGGCGAAGCTGGAGTTGGTAGTAGTGCCCTGGTCGCTGTCATCGGTGATGCTGACGACGCTGCTCCGTTCGCTTGTCGAGTGGCTCGTCGCCCGGCGATTCGGCGAGCAGCTTCTTCTTGCTGTTGACTCCCTCGAATGCAATGTGGTACGTCATCGAGTGGACTGTAGACTGCTCGGCGTCGCTGAGACTCCTCGCGGTTCCAGTCCTCGTAGTTGGGTACAGGGCGATCCCCTACTTGTCCGGGTGTCGGTGTTGAAATCGGAGTAGGCGGTGATGGCGCTGCTTCAGCTTGACCAGATGGGAGCTCTTCTGCAGGTGAGAGCCCAGCATCATCACGAGCTTCTGATGCATTCTCGGCGGGGGCTCCCGCAGCGTCCGCCTCCATTTCCACAACTTGTTCTTCTTCTGCTGGCGGTGGCTGTTCCCCTCGAAGATCTTCGCACCCCATATCGGCGCTGGCGCCCGCATCGCGGTTTAGACGCTGAAGTTGGTCGAGAGCTTCTCCATGCTGATCATCTATTCCCGGCCACCAGACTTCTGCAGCGGCAACCGGCCGAATGTGTTCTGGAGCAACGAGCTTGGCGAAGCCACCGTGCGATATCCAGCAGCTCTGGCCTTGTTTGCCCACGATCACGGCTGGCCCCAACCAGGCGCACTTCTTAATCGAGCCCTTCTTAAGCTGGCTGCAATAGAAACAAAGGTCACCTTGCTCGAGCGGATGGGCGCGCACTCGGGCGCGGCCCAGCAGTGCCTTGCGTAGCGCGCTGTCATTCTGCATTGCCATGAAGGCCTTGCGGGCGGCGGTCCGCATCTTCAGCTGTCGTTCGTCCCGTTGTAGTTCGGCCCCCTCATGCGCTGCGTCATGGCGAGCTCCGTCCACTAGATCAGCTGGTAGCCGGGCGCTTTTGCCAAAAACCCATTATTCCGGACTGAGGCCACATTGGCGTTGCAGTGCATTCTTGGCCCCCGTGACCACGGAAGCGACGATGCGCATGTCGGACTCATTTGAGGCCGCGGCGTGTGAGATTGCTCTTTCGGCCAACTCCTTCCACCAACCTCCTCGGCGTTCGGTCCGTCAGCGCTGCCGCGCTGCTCGACCGGCCACCAGAACGACCACGCAATGAATTTGATCAAGCATATCCTGAAATACCGAACCAAATCCACGCTCCAAATCCACAACTGCACTTGCTGGTGGTCCTGCCCAGCTTGTCCATATCTGAGTAAGCACCTTAACCGATACTTCTGAATGATGATTTTCGATCATGCCCACAACGTGAAACGTCGTACCTAAATCCACCACCGATAAGAAATCCCATGGTTCACCATCCACATCTTTGATCGTAAAACAATACAAACCAATCTGCCCGTTGAAATCGGCCGCGCGGGGAAGTCTAGCTGGTCTCGCGATTTTCTTCCGGACCTTGCTCATGCACGTCGCAGGTCGCAGTGATTTCGCCGCCTTCACTACCTTTGGTCTGCATCCTGAAAACCTCAACGATCTTGCAAGATCCTCGCTGCTGGGGTGGCTTAAATTCTGGTGAAGTTGTCGTAGGGCTGAGAGATCCTTGCGCGAGCACTCTGAGCTTCCAGGCCCAAACTGAATGGCCTTGGCTCCGATGTCCTCTGCAACAGGCTCTGGCTTGCACCATGGCTGAATCGTCAGCTCGGCAGTGCGATCCAACTTCGGCTCGACCAAATCCACGGTGATATCGGCCTTCTCGAAGTCCTGCACCACCATGTCGGTCTCGAGGTCTACAACCCTTCTTCTGCCCACGCGGCCCCAGTCAGGTCAATCTGGCAACTCGACCGGTATCTCGGTGGAGTCGCCCACGTTCTCGCAGTAGAACCAATCGTCTGATTCGCCACCCATAAGATCCATCAAGTCGCCGGTCGCGTAGACTCCGCGCTCCATCATGTAGGTCATGTTGTTGTGCCGGCATGCCTGCAAGACTGCCTCCGCGAACACTCTGGTGCATCGCCCTGTCTTGCGTGCGCAGTCAGCTCCTTCCAGTTGGTGATGCGGGTGACGTCCGTCACACTGCCTGCTCAGCCGGTTGACGTAGGAGTCATTAGAGACCAAGGGCTTCGTCGGCTTCTTGACCATTCCGTTAGACTTGCTGGTGTCGTAGGTTGAATTGGCACATGTCGACTTTCACCTCTTTCGCACGGGGATGCCCCTTTCATGCGCTTGATGTGACTGCTTGAACACCTCCCACGTCACCAGGATGTCTCGCTCGCTGTTCAGCTGCATCATACCGATCTCCTCCACGAAGTCCAGTAGGGGTCGATCTCGAAGACGCTGGCGACGTAGTTGTTGTTGCTTAGCTTCGCCTCGATAATTGACCCTGGTGACTTGCGTCCAGAGTGCGCAGGGGTACTCCAGCGCGAGGAGCTTTGGCCTGCAGGTGCGATTGAGCTGTAGAATCTCTCGTCGATCTCGGGCGCTCCGTAGGTTGCAGTTGTATATATGATCGATGGGCTCGCACACCTTGAGTCCTGCTCGACTGAACTCCTCTGAGATCACGGCCTCACCTGCAAAGATCTGCATCAGGTCGTTGCTCGGGTCGGTCTCGACGTTGAACACGTCGCAGAGGTCTTGCACGATAGCCTTGCCTTCCGAGAAGAGCGGTTTCACCAGGAAGGTGCCGACGAACGCGGTCTGCCACGTCAGGAAATTGACGGCCTTCTTGGTCATGTCGCTGTAGCGGTTGATCTGTCCCGGCTCCATCCTTCGCTTCACTCGTTGTTTTCTGCTCCTCCCCTTCGGAACTATCATCTCCCAAGTCTGGTCCTCCTCTACGCCGATGCCTTCTGCTGCAATAGCCATGTCGCTGATCGATGAGTTCCTTCTCCTGGTTACTGGTTCGTCGCTCTCTGAGTCGTCCGAGGGCTGTGGCCCCACTGGCCTTGCCTTTTGCTTCTTTCCTGTGCTCCGACAGGCCAAGGAGGCATTCCTGGTCGTTAAAGCAACCTTCGCAGTCGCAAGCAGTGCCTCGTCCTCGGCGTCCTCCTTGACTGCCTTCGGTATCTGTCCCAGCAACAAACACACGATTTTGTCCTTGAGCACGTCGCCGGTTACTTTCACGTTGCGCCTCTTGACCAGCTGGACCAACTCTGCTCGTGATTTCCTGGCGAGTCCCCGGAGTTCTGGATCCGCGGCGCGAGCTCCTCTGCGACTCTGGCCGTTCTCGATCCGTTGCTCGCTGAGGATCGCGCGTATCTCTCTGCAGCCCAGACCTTGGAACTCCAGCCCGTTGCTCTCCATCTCCTCCTGCAACTCCACCTTGACCGAGTCCCCAGTGGTAGTAGTCGTCGGGGTGCTGGTGCCTCGGCCTGCCTCTCGAGGATCCTCCTTGCCGTGGCGGCGCCCGCTGTGGAAAATGATGACCACAGCCGGATGCCTGGTCATCGTGATGGCTAAGAACACAAGCTTGAAGATCTGCTTCCAACGCATCAGCGCCACGGTGTTGCACTTCTTGCTGGCGCTGACATCGAGGATGCCCCAACCTTGGATCCACCCCAGCACGCTGAGAGGCATCCGCACATGAACGGAAACACTGATCTCGAGAATCACCTGAAACGGTTTGAACCACACTTGGCTGATGCCGAATTGTTTCATCATCAGCATCATCATCATACCCATCCGTTATGTGGAATCGCACACATATTGCTGGTGCTTCTGCTGCTGCTTCTGCTTAGGTTTCTGTAATGCGGCACGCCTATCCGTTTCCCGAAATTGGTCCGTAAAGGGTTGTCGTTGGGGTGCTCCTGAGGTTTTCTGAAGTTTCTGTTCGCAGTGATTCGGATCGCTCTCGCAGCTGTTGAAGTTTAGCTCGTACTGATTCGGATCCCTCATGACGTTGAAGTTTACTTCCTCGTGATTCGGGTCGCTCTTGATGCGGTTGACGTGGGGCCCCTATGGATCCCGTTGGAGGCCCACTAGGAATATCTCGTACCTGTTCTTGGGGGGCCTCCATAGCATGATGATGATGCTGCGATCGACGAGGATGGGGGCTCCTGTCAAGTTCTTTCCACCAGCGCTGCGATGGCGGAAGCAGCCTGACCTCTGTCTGGCTGGGGCTCACGTCTGGAGCCATGGTGAAAATGTGAGCCCTGTCGAACTCCAGCACGTCGAAACTCGGACGTCCGCTCTTTGTCTGCCCGAGCTCGAGGTCGGAGACTCCCAGCTTCCTGAACGTCACGGCGCTCTCGCCAGCCTCCACCTCGCGGTCGCGCACGGCCCCCAGCTGACCGAAAGCCTTCTGTGACAGCAGCGCGGGGACCAGGCACGGCACGATGGATAGATATCCCCAGCGTGAAGGGACGTCCGCGCACTGCGAGCGGCACCAGCGCTCCAATCGTGCTCATGACTGGCTTCCCGGCCCCGAACCTGAAATCTTCGTGTTCGTCAAACTCGATCGGCTCGAGGCCCATCTTCGCGAGCCGCTTCTTGATGTCATCATACCACACCTGTCCTCCAACGGACTTGGCGCAGCACGAGTCCGGTAGCAGCTTGCCGCCGCACTGTTGCAGCAGCTGCTCCTTCGTAGCCATGATAACGTTCACAGTGCCCGTGCCGGTCATCAGCACGCTGTTGTTGATGAAGAACGTCTGTTTCTCGATATGTTTCTCTTTGCTGCTCCAGTTCGTGAGATACTGCTCTGATACCTGGTCTTCCTCGTCGTTGTCGTCGGCAGTCGTGATATGCGCCTTGCTTGGCGTTCCTGGCGTTCCCGAACACTCGGGGTCGCCCTTCCAGTGCCCCAACTTCTGGCACACAGCACAGTGAGTTCTCGCCTTCAGCTTCTTGATGCCGTCCGAGCCCTTGCCGCCTCCGTGACTGCCTTTCCCGCCAGGTCCTTTACCAGGTCCGCGCCCAGGTCCCGGTAGCTGATCTCTATGATAAAATCCTCTGGCTTGTTCGGCATCCTTTTGCCTGTCCTTCGCTCTGGGGAGTATCTTCTCTAGCTTGTAGACTTCGACCTCAGCTTCATCGTGCTCCTCGAGTAACTCCTCCGGCAGCTCTTCGTCGTCCACCTGGGTCTCGTACGCCTCGAAATCTTCCTCTTCGTCGTTCTCGTTGAGGTGAGCTCCCCATCGTCGAGGTCGTGCTGGTGGGCCTCTGGGCGCTAGTGGTGTCATGGGTGCTGGCCTCCGGGGGTTGCGCTTGTCCAGTGCTTTGGCGTCCTTCACGTTAAGCAGCGTCTGCTTCTGCAAAGGCTTGAGCTCGTACTTATTCTGATTGGCGTTTAGCACTCCAGCTCCTCGATCTGGCGGCAAGCCTAGCCACCACATGGACAACCACGCCAACGCCTGATCTGGGAACTCGATCTGCAACGTCTTGAGCCCCGGGACCTGCGCATCGAAGCGGTTGATGTAGGCCCTGATCGCCTCGCCGTTGTCGCGGCGCACGCGGGTGAAGAAGGTCTTGAGCTCGGACCCCAGCTCCATCACATTCTCGTCATCAAACTTGTCGCTAGGAAGTCGAGCAGCACTTGGACCCCTTCGTCATTCTGAAGTTCCGTCGGGTCGAGGTCCTCCCCGTGCATCCAGGCGTCGCCCTTCAGTTCTGCGTAGAGTTCCGCGGCCTGCCTCTCGAGGGGCAGTCTGGTTCGCATCTTGAATATGGCCACTCGCCTCCTATAATCCTTCATAGTCATCGTCTGTGGGTCGAAGGCTGGAGCTGGAACGCGTGGTCCTCCCGGCTGCTGGGCACGTCCTTCCTCGCCTTCTGCTTGGTCATCTGATGGCTCCATCGTGGGCGCCATCCTAGCCATTTTGGCTCAAGCGTTGTGGCTCAAGCTGTTGTGGCTCCAAGCTGTTGTGGCACGAGTAATCTACATCAAGCCTGTCGCCGGGGCGGTCAGTTCACGAGCCTGTCGCTGGGGCGGTCAATCACCACAATTTTTGACCATTCTCATTGTACTGACTTTCTGTTCTCGCTCACCACAACGCCCAGCATGGCCGGCGTTCCAGGCGCCCAGAAACCAGCGTTCGAGAAGGGTGACAAGGAGATCTTGGCGCGGCTCAGTGCTCGCCGCACTGCTGCACAGCAGGCGCTTTCCCCCGAGAGCAAGCGGCTTGCAGAAGCAGATACTTTCATGGACCAGGCCCGCGCACGGGCGAATTTGCACCAGTCCTGCCTTCCCGGGCGTGGCGAGCGGCGCGGCAGAGCCGAGCACTGTTTTTGCAGGTGTTCCCGCATCTAGCGGCGCATGCAATGGCCCTTCGGGCGGCGTGCATGCGGCTCCCGGAACCGGCCTTGCGGGTGGCAGTTCCGGTGGTGCATCAGGCGTGGGTTTCGCCCCCCTGACTCCGGGCGCGGGCGTCGCCCCCCCGGTTGCGGGCGCGGGATTCGTCCCCCCGCAAGCACTTGCCCAGGTTGTCGCACCACCAGTTTCCGCTTCGACCGACGACAAACTGAACTTCATCATGCAGAACATGTCCCTCAAGAGTGAAACGGCGAGCAAGCAGGACATCGAATCGTTGCGGGTCGAGATGAAAACGGAGATCACGAAGGCCGTGGACCCCGTCAAAACTGACACCAGGCTGCTGAAGGACCGCGCTCTTCATCTCGAGTCTCTCCCGTCGAGTTCATTTACCGGCCGGCGCATGCACAAATGTGTCGGACCCATGTGTGCGACCGCCGCTACCTGCCGACCCGCCGCCAGATGGGTTTGATACGTTTATGGCAGACACGCCGGTGGTTTTAGATCGTGATGTTTTTGCCACAGTATTACGACAATCCAGGAAAGGTCTCAGTGCTGGCTCATGGGGATGGCGATACGAATATTTCAAACTCTGCGTGGAAGATGATCACAGCTTCGATGCGCTATGTGACGCGGCAGAAAGACTCGCGCGGGCAGAGGTCCCGCATGAAATGCGACGTGCAATGAAGATCTCGGCGATAACTGCTTCTAAAAAAGCCGAGTAACAGGATCCGAGGCATTGCGTCCGGAGACACCTTTTCGGAGATTGGTGTCCAAAACTTTGGCACGACAATTCCAGGGAGAATTGCGGGGCGCAGCGTGGCCACGCAATTTCGTACATTGTATGCGTTTCGTCACGGACAACTTCCCCCAGAAAGTACTGGTAAGCATCGAC